GGGGGAGGTGGCTTTCCTGACCTGCATCGCGTGGACCTCTCAGGACTGTCACCCTCTCAGTACCGGAGTCCTTCCACTTTATTTTTAGTCTTCGTTTTATTTTTTTATTTTTGCCAGCCACTAGGACCACAGTGTCGACAAGCTCTCTCTTATCAGCTAAGTGAGAGCCTATCCTGCCTTCACAACCATCCCTTGAGGAAAGTGCCTGGTCCCTGTTTTCCGGAGGAGGAAACAAGATTACTGTACAACAGGCCTTCCAACCTGTCTCGCTTCAGAAAAGCTGTCGCTCTTCCTTTCGTCTTTCATTTATGCCTCTGTTTGTTCCTTTGTTTTGTCAAAGCCGAACCGCGTTGCCCATCTTTCCCATCGTGCCCTGCACTGTAGGTCTGAAAAGGTTTCGATTTCAATAGTTGGATTCGAAGCATGAGTTTCAAGATTAAGAAAATCGGTGAAGTAGGAGGACAATGAGAGATCTCTGTCATGAGTTAGCCGTAAGCGTGACTGTCGATGTTGTGCAGTGAACTGTCCACACGTACTTTGCGAAATATCTTCTTTTCCTTCTCTGAGAACTTTGATTATAAATACCACGTCAGTCACCGATTTCTTTCTCCCTGAGACTGTGCCTCCCTGAGTGCAGGTGTCAAATTACAGTCATCTTTGTATCCTTGGCACTTAGAATCTTGCCTAGCACCTGAGAAGCACTAGAAGGAATGAATGGAATGAGAAAAGGCTCCAAACCCACCTTTATTTGTGACTCTTTTTCTAACGTGATTTGGTCATTTCTGGTTTTTGGACTTGATTTCATCTCACCGTTATTGTCAGCTGCAGAATAACGGAGGAGTTTCTGGATAACCAGTCTGACTGGGCCTTCATCATAATCTGTCTCGGTTATTAAGATGACAGAATTGAGATATTGGCGATCAATTAGCTGTCTTTCCATTAACCTTCAGAGAAGTTAGACCCAGCCAGTAACGTGGAAACGCGTAAGCCACGGAAGGAGAGCATGGGTCTGCGGGTCCACATTTCCACATTTTGGGGTTTGGGAATGACCGGGAAGACCTGACTAAATCCCTCCTTCGGAACTTGTGCCCTGCCCATCTCGTAGGGAGGTAGGGCACAAGGCATATTGGGGCAGAGCCACACGCCCAGCGGGGGCCCATGAGGGAGAGCCCCCGGACCTTGGCTGGGGACTCTGGGAGAGGCTTCGTGCAGGGAGTCCCGGAGGAGCCAGGTTTGAAAAAATACATAAAAGGGGCAGTTTGCCCGTCAGCTTTCGGTAGCCCTTTTCCATATCGTTTAATATATTTGTCGAGAACGCTAAGGACGCTCACAGGTCCTTCAGTCAGAAGTAGTTATTGAGTTTTTATCAAGTACCAGGAACTGTCCTCAGCATCTGAGAAACAGCCGGGAGTGAGTGAGACAACATTCTAGCCCTCAAGGCCTTCAAATCCCAGGGGAACTAAGGCAAAACTAAAGACGAGGTTATTCCAGCCAGAAGGAAAAGCCTGTAGAGTCTCGGAAAAGTTTGAGACCGTGGCAAGGTGCTGGCAGTGGTAAGTACGGGAGGAGGAGGAAGGGGAGCGAGAAAAAGAGTCTGGAAAGTTTTTGTTTCTAGAATTCGCTCCCAGTTTCTGCAGTCCTCTTGCCGACACACACTTTTTGATCCCAGCTCATTTGCTAGACCACCGTTTGTGACTTGAGTAGTTTTAACTGGCGGTGTTTTTGTTTTTGTTTTTGTTTTTTAATTTTTTAACGTTTATTTATTTTTGAGACAGAGACAGAGCATGAACGGGGGAGGGGCAGAGAGAGAGGGAGACACAGAATCTGAAACAGGCCCCGGGCTCTGAGCTGTCAGCACAGAGCCCGACGCGGGGCTCGAACTCACAGACTGTGAGATCATGACCCGAGCTGAAGTCGGACGCTCAACCGACTGAGCCACCCAGGCGCCCCTAACTGGCGGTGTTTACACTGGGCTTTGCTGCCACACTTCCTCTCAGGAGTTGAGTCTAGTCCTCCTGGCTCTCAGGCAGCTCTGCCCCAACCCATTTCCTCATTAGCCTTTGGCAGACAGCTTCTCTGGGTTCCATCTTCGAACTTGTGTCCTTGCTCAGCCCCGAAAATATGTAGTCAAGTGATAGTGAGAGCCAGAACGAAGGTCCTGGCCCTAGGGGGCTCGGAGAAGCAGACTCCAGAAGCTATTGGAGACTTAACTGGAAGGATTTGAAGCCAGTTGGATAACAGGGGTGAGAGAGGGAAATCAAAGACGGAGGCTCCATGAACAGAGAATTCTGGAAGAGGTCCAAATATGAGGAAGGAAGACAGCTCTTTTTTGGCTGCGTCCATGGGGCCATGAGTGACACAACTCTGAAATACAGAATCAAATAGACCCTGCGGGGTGAGGGGTAATTGGCATAGAGCTGGCACCTAACGTATAGGGAGGTTAGGCATGACCCGTGAGGGAAAAGCGGGAGGTATCTGATGAAGCAGCATCCCCAGGAAAGGAGCTGAGCTTAGATTGCTCAGGGGATCTGAACCCTGAGGTAAGGGTTAGCGCAAGAGAGCGCCAGGATCCTCTCAGAGCAATACTTAAAGCAAAAAGCTAAATCTCAGGCTAAAATGTACCACAATTATGAAGTTGGTTTTTAAACTATTACCTGTTTACAGGACAATCGGAAGAGCAAAGAAGGGCCAAAAAGAAGTGCAAAGAGCCACTGCTTGGAGGATAGTGTAATGTCCCCAAACAGGACAATTCTTATTTTAATATGGCGTTCTTCTATAAGAGCCTATTTTGAACAAGAGAGTTGCAAGAAAACAATATTGAGTCCAAAACTACACTTCGAAACAGGAAAGAAGCAGTAAGTTGCTTTGAATTAATTCAAGTTTCAGACACAAGCAGACATGTGCATTGAGCTAAGGGGACTTGCAGACGCAGTCTCGAAAGAATTTAAAATAATTTTGCAAGTCGTATAGAGAACAGAAGGAGTGCCAGAAGGCAAGAAACAGGAGAATGCCTTGACTTTCACAAAGGGCTTGCCTCTTCTTGCCACTAATTAAGATACCAAGTGGCTAGATGATTTCATTTTAAGGGCACTTCTAGCCTTAAGGACAAGGAGTTAATTCCCTAAAGCCCAAGGCTTTGTAAATAAATGGCATTAAAGCCCATAAGAAGAATGACAGGGTTGCATCTTTATGCTCCATTTCTTATTCTGCTACATGTTCGGAAAGGATTGTTTTTTCTTGGAACACCGTGGGGTGTATCCGAGAGAACTCGCAGAGTAAGGATAATATATCAGTGACTTATTAACACCTACGAGAATTTTATCTGAACCAGAGCATGGCGTGGCCAATGAATTCCTTGTGGTTGAGGAATGAGAAGCATGCGTATTAGATTTGCAGGGGCCATACGGCTGTCAGAGGTAAGCAGGGCCAGAGGTGATCATTTGAGATTCAGAACTGCCTTGACAAGCTACAACATCAAAGCTGACGCGGAATTTCTTGTCGATAGGTCTTCGAGTTGATAGCACACATAGAGAAGGAGTACAGACTTGGTGGCAGGTCGTGGGAAAAACTCCCGGGTTTTTAGCCGTGGTAAACTGAACGTGAATCAACTGTCTGATGGAGTTTCCCCACAGACCTCGTTCCGGCTCAGGCGGCGTTTCGGACCCGTGCCGTCCAAGGAATTGAAGGGTACTGTCGCTCTCCTCGGTGCTTATTGATTCCCGCCTTGAGCCTGCCCCCTTTCCAGTTGTTCCCAGTAAGTGGAAAATTATCTGCAGGTGGCCCCGCGCTTCTGGAGGCATGATCCTCGTTCTCCGTTAAACATTGTAAGATGCGGTTTATTTTTCGTTGTAGTAAGAACAGCATAAAAGTTACCATCTTGGGGCGCCCGGGTGGCTCAGTCGGTGAAGCGTCCAACTCTTGATTTTGGCTCAGGTCACGATTCCAGCATCGTGGAATCGAGTCTCATGTTGGGCTCCGTGCTGGGCAGGGAGCCTGTTTGAGATTCTCTCCCTCTCGTTCTCTCTCTTCCCTCTGCCCTTGGATGCGTGTGCATGCACACGCTCTCTCTCTCTAATTAAAAA